AAAAAAAAAAAGCCAACCATAGTCCACCTACTCTTGTGAGCCTAAGGCGTGTTGAAGTCATTTAGAAAACAATAGCATCGCTAAAGTAATGCTGCTAACCTAACACAATCCTACCTTGGCCTTTTACTAATCAAATATATTTTCCAGAAATCTCACCAAGCCATGCTGCCCACAATAAGAATGGTTCCAGTCTAATACCTGATTAGTGATACAGATCCCTGTATCACTCTTCCCTCCGGAGAAACCCTAACTGCCCCTTCTATCATCGCCAGATTCAGCAGGAAGCAGTTAGATCGAGTCTTCTTTGCCCTTTTTCCCTAATAGCAGTTAGAGTTTCTACTCAAGAGAGGGAGGAATGATATTGGACAAAGTGGCACCCCAGCCAACTCAGCTGAGTGGGGCTGGGGGACCTGCTGCCTCCGTCTTGGCTGTGGCAGCCGGCAAAGGAACCAGCAGGCTGGAGCAAGCAGAGAGCTTTCCTCTCCCACAGAAGGCTCCAGTAGCAAAAAAGACTGACCTAGCAGTAGAAAACACTGATTCCTCCAGTACATCCCTAATTGGTCCGTTTTCAATCCTGCTCCTGATTGGTCTATTTTCAGGAGAACATAGACCAATCAGCTCAGCTTTCAGCTCATTGGACAACTGCCCCTATATAAACCCCTGAGTAGAGCACATAGGAGGAGATTGTCACAGACTTTCCAGGAGAGAGAGCAGGAGAGCCAAGATCTCAGCAGATTGCTGCAGACCATCGAGGGAGAGAAAGCAGAAGAGTTAGAGCTGTAATACTTGGATCCTGCTCTGCAAGGAGGTTTGGCTCATTGTAAAAACTGTGACATTTGTATAAAATCTATCTTACCCTGTTCTGCAAGGTTTGGCTCTTTGTAAGAGCTGTAATACCTGTTAAAACCTAACTTTCATCCTCTGGTCCGTCAGTCGTTGAGACCAAGAGCCTGGAAATCCAATATCAAAAGTCTGGTATCAATACCTCACAGCAACCTCCAACTCCTGAGCTTAGGCAATTCTCTTGCCTCAGCCTCCCAAGTAGCTGGGACTACAAGTGCCCACCACGATGCTCGGCTAATTTTTATTTATTTACTTTTTTTTTTGGAGACAGTCTCACTTTGTTGCCCTCAGCAACCTTAAATTCTTAGGCTCAAGTAATTCCCTTGCCTCAGCCTCCCAAGTAGCTGGGATTACAGGCACATGCATCAGGTCTGGCTATTTTTTTGAGACGAAGTCTCACTCTTGCTCAGGCTGGTCTCAAACCTGTGAGCTCTGACAATCCACCTGCCTCAGCCTCCCAAGTGCTGGGATTACAGACATGAGCCACCACACATGGCCTCAAAAGTTACTATTTTTAGTTATATATCATCCACCCCTCCTATCTCCAGCTGCAGGACTCGGTCATGTTTCTAATCTGTACAGGTTACATCTGTTTCTTCTTCAGCCTAGAGTAGTTAATGGCCTTCAGAGTTGGAACCAAGAGAGAACTGGCTGACATGACTGATCTATAATTTGTTAGATCATTAAGTAAACTTTAAAGAGGGAAGGCCGTTTCTCCTCTTACACTTCATTCCCTAGCTACTAACCTTCTATGTAAAGTTCTTTTTATCAAACTAAAATGTTCACTATCTCGTAGAGTTTGATCCCCCTTTCTTTATACTAAAAAAATTTGGTGGAAAGAGCATAGGGAATGGGAATCTAGTGCCACCCAGCAAGGTAGCTCATGTGACTGGGGAGGCTAAAGCAGGACTACTTGAGGCCAGGAGTTTTAGACCAGCCTGGGCAACATAGTAAGATCCTCATTTTATCTTAAAAAGAGATCTAATTTTTTTTTGGGGGGGGGGTTGGTTTTTTTTGAGACAGAGTCTTAGTTTTGTCACCCTGGTAGGGTACCATGTCATCACAGCTCATAGCAACCTCAAACTCTTGGTCTTAAGTGATTCTCTTGCCTCAGCCTCCCAAGTAGCTGGAACTACAGGCACCTACCACAATACCTGGCTATTTTGTTGTTGTTGCAGTTGTCATGTTAGCCCAGGACAGATTCAAACCTGCCAGCCTTGGTGTATGTGGCTGGCACCATAATCACTGTGCTACAGGCACCAAGCCATTTTAGGGCTTTTTTTGAAACAGTCTCATTCTGTGCCCTAGGTAAAATGCCATGGCATCATAGCTCACAGCAACCTCAAACTCTTGGGCTTGAGTCCTCTTGTTGCAGCCTCCCAAGTAGCTGAGATTACAGGTGTGTGCCACAATACCTGGCTAGTTTTTTCTATTTTTAGTAGAGAGAAGGTCTGTCTTTGCTCAGGCGGGACAATCTGCCCACCTCAGCCTCCCAGGGTGCTAGGGTTACAACTGTGAGGCACAGAGCCTGGCTGAGAGAGATGGTCTTTATGCCAAAAAATTAACTGGCCAAGCTTCAGCTGTTTCACTACAAACTGCAGTGCTAGCTTGGTGACATGCTTTCAGCTCTCACATTCTAATTCTCGTGATCTCTGACAGTACTAAGAACTTTTGAGTCATAATGACACCAATGGTCTATCTCATCTCTGACTTTTTTTTGCAGTTTTTGGCCAGGGCTGGGTTTGAACCAACCACCTTCTGCATGTGGGGCCAGTGCCCTACTCCTTGAGCCATAGGCACCACCCCACCCGACTTTTTGTAGTCCCCACTAATCAAGTTTAAAATATGTTAGTAATACCAGGAAGAGATAACCTAAAAGCAAGGGGAAGAATGACTAATTCATGTTGTGACCAATCCTTTTTGTCACCTGGCTGGATTACAGGAGTATAATCATAGCACACTGTAACCTGAACCTCCTGGGTTCAAGTGATCCTCCTACCTGAGCCTCTGGAGCAGTTGGCACTACAGGTGTCCCTCATTTTGGGTTTGTTTCTTTTTTCCATTTTTTTTTAAGAGACTGGGGTCTTGCCATCCTGCCAAGATTGATCTTCAACTACCAGCCTCAAGTGATCCCACCTCAGCCTCTTGAATTGCTGGGACTACAGGCACAAACCACTGTACCCAATCACTATGAACATTTCTTTTTTTTTTTTTTGCAGTTTTTGGCCAGGGCTGGGTTTGAACCCACCACCTCCAGCATATGGGGCCGGCGCCTTACTCCTTTGAGCCACAGGTGCTGCCCATCTTTTTCTTTTTTTAAAGACAGAGTTTCATTATGTCGCCCTCAGTACAGTGCTGTGACATCACAGCTCACAGCAACCTCAAACTCTTGGGCTTAAGCGATTCTCTTGCTTGAGCCTCCCAAGTAGCTGGGACTATAGGTGCCCGCCACAACGTCTGGCTGTTTTTTGGTGGTAGGTGTTATTGTTTGGCAGGCCTGGGTGGGTTAGAACCTGCCGGCTCCAGTGTAAGTGGCAGGCGCCCTAGCTGTTGAGCTACAGGTGCCAAGCCAACTATGAACAATTCTGAAAGATTTCTCAGGCTACAATCAACCCATCAATGTTTACCAGCCATAACCTTGAACTGAAGATATACTCAGCCCAGAAGTAAAATTACTACAACAGCAGCAATTCATGTTGCCTGTCTAATGGATCCTGGTTCCCTATAAGAATCCTGTTTACTCTAACAGGATTTTTTTTTTTTTTGAGACAGAGCCTCAAGCTATCCCCCTGGGTAGAGTGCTGTGGCATCACAGCTCACAGCAACCTCCAATTCCTGGGCTCAAGCGATTCTCCTGCCTCAGCCTCCCAAGTAGCTGGGACCACAGGCACCCGCCACAACGCCCGGCTATTTTTTGGTTGCAGCCGCCATTGCTGTTTGGTGGGCCTGGGCTGGATTCGAACCCGCCACCTTAGATGTATGTGGCTGGTGCCTTACCTGATTGAGCCATAGGGGCCAAGCCTATTTTCTTTACAAAATGATGAAAGATATGGTAGAAGCAGAAAACAAAAAAGTGCTTAGGACAGAAATTATACCTATGGCCAGTTTCTCTAAAACTTAACATTTGTAAGAATATTCTTTTGCTTTGGTTAAAAAAAAAAACAGACAAAAAACCCAACACTTAATTCCATTAGCAACTAACAAAATTCATATTCAATGCCAAAGGAAGAAATAGTCAAAGGCTAATTTGACTTTAGAAAACAGCTGAATATGATATGTGAGCTTAATACTTTTAAGAGCTTCAGGAAAGATCAGAAATTTTTCATATAGGAAAACAGTAATTTATTCAACAATTTTCTCAAAAACTATATTCCATTAGAGCTTTTTAGGCACCAAAAACCACTTAACCATATGCCATACAAATATACTGAATAAAAGATATATTAATATAATTACTATAAGTAAAGGCTCCTAAAAACAGACTATTAATAGCTTAGCATCATTTTCAACTGTAAAAAAAATCAAAATAAGAATATTTTCTGACCCCAAGTTTGTAACCATTGCTTAACTTCCAGGTTTCACCCATCATTTGATAAAAACGCTCCTCCAGTTTTTTCAGTTTCATTTCCTGGTGAGGTTTTAAAACATTCTCTATGTATTTGTGGGCCTGTTCAAAAAAACAAATTAGATATTGTTAGTATAGGTTAAAAAAACTGACATTGTCTATAAAGTTATAAATACAAACCAGGGAAGAAATTGTGTTCTCACACTAATTTTTTTTTTTTTTTAAAGTTAGGGTTCTTGCTCTGTTACCCAGGAGTGGAATGTAATGGTATAGTCATAGTTCACTGCAGCCTGGAACTCCTGGGTTCAAATGATCCTCCTGGCTTAGCCTCCTGAGGAGCTGGGACTACACATACACACCACCACAGCCAGAGAATTTTTTTTATCTTTTGGAGAGGCAGAGTCTTACTATCTTGGCCAGACTGGTCACCAGCACCGAGCCTAAGCTATCCCCCTTCTTTAGCCTCCCAAAGTGCTGGGATTATAGGTATGAACCACATACCTGGCCACTAATTCAGTTGTGAAAAAAAATCAGCACCCTCCACTTTGCATCACTCCCTAAAAATCTGCATTTACAAATATAAATATACAGCATTTATATTTATTTGCATTTTGTGTAAATGCAGATTTTTAGAGATTACTATATATTCTTTGTGTTGTTTTCTTTGGAGAGGGTCTCACTTTGTCACCCTTTATAGAGTGTCATGGCAGCATAGCTCACAGCAAACTCAAACTCTTAGGCTCAAGTGATCCTCTTGCCTCAGCCTCCCATGTAACTAGTACTTTTGTGTTTTCAATTGCAATAAAAACTTGCTAGGAGCTAGGACTACAAAGGTGAAGAGGACGTAATCTCTGACCATAAGGAGCTTAAAGTCTGAGCAGTTTCTTCAAGGTATAATGCCCTTGGCTCAGACCCGGAGCTCAGAGGTTAAGGCACCGACCACATACACCAGGGCCAGCGGGTTTGAACCTAGCCTGGGCCTGCTAAACAGTGACAACTGCAACAACAAAAAAAATAGCTGGGCATTGGGGTGGGTACCTCAGGAGTATAATCATAGCACACTGTAACCTGAACCTCCTGGGTTCAAGTGATCCTCCTATCTGAGCCTCTGGAGCAGTTGGCACTACAGGTGTCC